TTGTACGCATAATTTGATACGTAACACAGTGCAACTCTCATTTAATTCAAATATATATAATGTACATTTATTTCATATAGCACGTTTTGAAAGCATTATTTATACGTTGTGTATTTAATCGCTTTCATAAATATGTATTTCCTAGGTGAAAATGTGTCAAAAAGCGCTCAAATACTGGCAAATCGCATCGACAAAATATCTATAACAAATTCAACTAAAACATACAAATGAATGTAGTATGAAAGTAAAATACCTTTTCAGTATTTAAATCCATCGAATGGTTGCCCCAAAGTCCACACAAATACAAGGAAAAATAAACGCAAATATCAATGTATTGAAGAAATTGTGTTGTTTATCATTTGTTGACCAGAAAATAGTCGTATGTCACTCGTATGTACTCGTATGTTACTCGTATGTACTTGTATGTTACTCGTATGTACTCGTATGTTACTCGTATGTACTCGTATGTACTCGTATGTTACTCGTATGTACTCGTATGTACTCGTGTGGTGTTTTAGTCACGATCCTTTATGCATTATCGTTATCAACATAGTATAATCACTCAAAATCAAAAAACGTGTATTTAATCGGTATTTTGTGCTACCTGAATTTAAAACTGAGTCCATGTAACCGGCCTCAAAATTTAAGTTGAACTGTTGTTTCATACAAAATACGCCACTACTGCTATATAAACAGAGCACCTTAAATTTCTCTGACAAAGGCACCTTTGATGCTTGAGAGAAAAACGCAAATTTGATTGGCTTGATTCCGTATGTACACATACCTTTCGAATCGAATAACAGCGCAAAACATCAATATTATGTTTCACAAACGTCAATATCAAGTTGATGTCGTCATAAAAATCGTCTAGTGAAGATCCGCCTTAAGGAAAGAATTATGCGCGAACTTAATGGACCAGGATGTTTGAGCAGATATCGGGGAATGTGGCATATTCTTAGCAGGGAGGATTTATGATACCGAGGAAAAAAGTTCAAGAGTTGTTAAAAGAATTAGATCCTGAGGGTTGTGAAACAAGACGAGCTCATCGTTTAAGGCGGAGAGTTTATGTAAATCCAGGTCCAAATTTTTATTGGTACTTGGATAGATATGATAAACTGAAACCGTTTGGTTTCCCCATACATGGGTGTATCGATGGTTTTAGTCGTAAAATATTATTGCTGCATTTGACTAAGTCAAACAATAAACCACAAGCGATACTTAAACTTTTCTTAAACTTAGTCATGTCGTGCCATGGCTGCCCTAAAAATTCACGAACTGACCTGGGAACCGAAAATGTCCTTGTTATAGCTGCATAATGTTACTTTACAAATTATGACCAGTCTCATGTGTATGGTACATCTCAACACAATCAAAGAATCGAAGGGTGGTAGTCATACTTTAGAAGAAGCCGAGCAAACTGTTGGATCAACTTTTTTAAAGACTTGATGCATCAGGAAGTTGTTTCATCTGGATTTGAACTGGAAATGGAATGCCTGTGATTTGTTTTTCAAGTCTCATTCAACAAGACTTGAATCATGTAAAAAATCATTGGAATACTCATTATATAAGAAGATCAAGGTTTGACACCATACTAGGAAGGCCAAATGAGTTATATTACCTTCCCGAGAGGCATGATTCAGAAGATTTTCTTCAATCTGTAAGTCTACAACAGTGTGATCAGGTTATACAGAGTATTATCTTGATTAAAACAAAAGCGAGTACGAAGAGTACTTTGTACATGTCATGGACACAGTATAGAAACAAACAGAAAACCCATTATGTTGAAATTTTTTGTGTAGCGCATATCTTATCACGCATGTGATTAGCATAGTGGCAGCCAGTCAATTGCTTTTTTCGCTAATAAGAGCGCTGAGATAGCTAGCCGCAGCCAGTAATTTAATTAATTATACAGCACTAAGTTTCACAATGGAGTGAGACTACTGTTTGTTTGTATACTGTGTCATAGATCAAGCTGGCTTAGAGCTGCCTTAAGAGTGGAGACAAGTCTTGGATCTTAACAATGAATTAATTTACAAAGCAAAAGACCATTGATTTTATACCTGTTTGAGCGGATTGTCTTTTCAAGGTCTGCATTTGATGACAGAATATTGTTAAGTGACTGTTATTACAAAATGAAATTAGCATTTCATTTTACAAAAATTGTTTTTTAATTGTTAAGTTAACATGGTTACTTAACTTCAGTAAACCTAAAGTTTGTGGAATCTTTCTGATAATAACATTGTATATAATTTTCTGTTTGCTATTTCTGAATAACTGTGATGACATCTTATAAAATTTACGATATTTTAAAGTAACAGCCAACGAATTTGCTGTGATTTAAAGCCAACATCAACTCATGTGTTATGTAAATTAAACCATACTCTTATAGTCTGTGTCAATTATACAGTTTCAAATGCTTCTCTTGTTTACAACTTAGTTTTGGAAAATTAAGGAGTTGCAAAAACACCACCCTTACATATTGCTAGCAAAACAAGATGCTGAAAATCACCAGTTTTGCTAATGTGTGCAACAGATATTGTTATGGTACGGCCACAAGCTCCAATAATAGGAAAGCAGATAGTATGATTAGGATTCCTTAATAGACAACATTGATCAAATCTAACAGTTGCTTTTAAAACATCACCATTTAATGACCGATGTTTTTGGCCTGTAAGCCAACCTGAAGGTGTCAGATTTGTCATTATGGAATAAGTGCTTTCATCCACTTCTTCATCATCATCAGCATACTGATTGGTTTTAGCGGGGTTGGTAACAAACCATGCAATTTCCTCTTTGTATCCAGATATGTGTTTATCTTCCAGTGCCATGAAGAAATATTGAAAGTTATCCATGATGGTTTCTTCAAGCATTCTTCTTGAAGTACTATCATCAGAATAATCAGGGCACAGCAGAGAAAATAGGTAATTTGCATCTACATCACAAGTTTCTTTCCTCTTCACCAAAACATTTTTGGCTACTTCTTAATTTTCTTTAACTGCTTGCAGTACACCGGAAACCTTTCGCTCTTAGAGTTAAAGCTGTAAGTGCAAAATCTACAACCTTTCTTAAGCGTCATAAGTCATTTTAGTCGTAATTCTCAAGTGAAGCTAAATTATTTGTCTTCTTTTTGAAGGTTTTGTGAATTTCCAAAGTCATATTACAGAGAAATGGCTCAAATAAGATTTTTGTTTTGAAGAATTTAATCATTTCCATTTGCCAAAATGTTTTAACACTTCGCTCAATCGCGGCTACGGGCTCATGTGAACAGCCCGTAATTAAATATACAGCAGCCAGTCGCACAGCAAAGTGACCCTACAGTATATTCCTATACTGTGATTTAACTCACTCTAAGCATTTACTTCTTGAAATCGTAAATGTGCTCTGTGGGTGTTTTTCCTTCACTGGTACCACTACTTTTCTACATATACACTATAGATGAACATACAATCGTGCCACTTTATTCAAATTTTTCATGCCACACATATCTTATTACGCATGTGATTACCATAGTGGCAGCCAGTCAATTGCCTTTTTTGACGAATAGGAATGATAAAATTCTTAACGGCAGCCAGTAATCAAAATAAATATACAGCAGCCAGTTTCACAAGAAGTGGACCTACTCTATATTCCCTATACCACGACATGCGCAAGGACAAAAGCATCAAAGGGTTCCGACACAAGTGTCTCCTCTGTATATTCTTATTCTATGCCCATACTGTGACATAGATGTCATTAATGTTTCATAATACTGTTTGTTGAAGTAGATCCTGACTCATTTTTCATCTTCGCTCGTTATTTTAATGTGTTTATGTAACAAAACTCACATGGATAAAAAATTAATGTTACAATAAGCCATGAACTATGATCACCTTTTTTTAAACTGATGTGTATGTGATCGCGTTGTTTATATTAAATCTCTCATCCGTTTGTTGAGTTTGTGACATGTAAAGAACTAAAGCATGCATAATTTTGTTCACGTCTTACTTCTAAAACGAAGGTAATTGTAAAAAAATTAAAAGATATTTTAGAACTACATTACCGACATAACAAGTTGGCTAAAGCAGAATCTCGATAAAGTATGACTAAACATGCATGAGAAATCATATCTAAATTGATATATCAACTTTCTAACTATTGACAATAAGCTGCATGGTATAGGAAACAAAACCTGTCCAAAGGTATGGGAGTAGCGAAATAGCGTACTTGTCTATGGAAAAAATGGTAATCTGTAAAAATTTATGTAGGGGGGTAGCATGTCCAATCATGCATCACCTCCCTTCTTTGCCGACACCACTTTTGACTAATCGCTGTGTGTCTAACAAAATGTTGTTAGTTGTATTGAGCAAACCATTCATTTTTAAAGTAAGAACATTTGTAAAATAAGCAAATGTTAAACATAGGAAGAATGTGTTTACACAGAGAAATAAAGCAACCGAATCTATTTTTGTGAAATGTTGATTCATGCAACACAGTGAGCTTTTAAATTTATACTTTTGATCATGTTTGTTTTAACAGTTTTAAGGTTTACTTTCATTGCATACTTTACTGTTGTATCTACAGTGTTTTTATTGATCATAAGTAATTACAATTGCGTGCAGTCGATGTTTGCCACGTATTCATAATTTACAATGATTTATTCAATAACAAAGGTTTTTTATAATATGGACTGCATTGTGCAAGAATATACATGCATGGAATTTTTATTAAAGAAGGGAAAAATCCATTCACAGTTTCGAAAATCGTGTCTTAATCATTGGCATTCAAATCCTGTCTTAGATAGGTTGTTCTTTACTCCTGAGTTAAAACTTGCGAAACTTTATAAGATTTAGCAGTAGTCCTTTGGAATTTGACTAATCTCAATGTTATTATGTACTCTGCATGAGGTTCTTATTTATGTGTTTGTATTTATATAACAATTGTTTTTAGTCAGTGATGTATACTTAGTTATATAACTAGAATGTTTTACATAGAAGTCATTAATGTTTTATAATACTGTTTGTTGAAGGAGATCCTGAATCACTCTTCAATTTCGTTCGCTATTTAAATGTGTTTATGTAACAAAACTTACATGGATAATTGATGTAACAATAAGGTATGAATTATGATCACCATTTTTAAACTGATATGTATGTGGTCTTGTACTAATTCAATTTATTTCAGTAATTTTCAGTATAGTGTGCTACATATATATGTATCAAGACACTTAATTTACAAAGACGAGCATTTTTAAACATTCATCCTTCACCCATACACATTCATTCTTTACCATTACAAAATACACAAGTAATTCAAAATCAAACATTTTATATTAAGAATTATACATTAAAATGATCTAACTGCTAACCAAGCTACAGGAACATTGTATTAAATGGGTAAACAGACAATTTACAAAAGGAATGATATCTGAATCTTGTGGGACATTCACGATGAACTATATACCAACACTGCCACTAAGTTAATTGACATAGGTTGAGGCAATAACTATCAGATAATTTTGTTAGCTGTTTATACACGTCTGATAAGAAGTAAGGGCATTGTTATGTGACTTTGCTTTTACCAATAAATATACTAGCTTCATGTTTAGATATTTGACTCATTCATATTATTTTTTCATGCAAACAAACTTTGTGTTAAGCCCGCCGCACACTGGTGAACTTGCCGCGCGTACTTGTTATTCGTGACAAGTGTGATTGACAAAATTTCCTAGTGTGCGCGGAAGTTTTGAACAACATTTGTCATTCGTGACAGATGAGTCAAATATCAAACGAGTTTGATATTTTTTGTCACGAGTGTCAAAAAATCTTGATGTGCGGAGAGCAAGCAGCAAGTGCGCTGTAAATGACAAAAATGCGCACGCGCGAGATTGAGAAAACAAAATGGCAGACCAAACCTTGGAACATGTGGCGGACGTTATATTAGAGGACTAGCTTGTTGATATTTGGCCTGATTATCCATGTCTATACGATGTAAGATCGTCGGAATTTAAAAATCTAGACGCAAGAGATAAGGCTCTGCAAGAAATTGCAGAAAATCTTGGGCAAACAGGTTGTTATTTCTTAATAATAAATATCGACTTTATAAGTGTTTGTTATATAGTCATTCTCCAATCTTTTAGTTCTTTTATTCAGTTCACGCTGTTGAGCAGAGACTTGTTTGCTGGAAAATATAATAAATAGTCGCAATGGAACTCACACGTCAATTTCTTACTTAGTTGATTATGTCAAGGCTAAAATAAAAGCATTTAGACATGCTTACACACGAGTCAAAAAACCTCCTCCAAGTGGTAGCGCTCGCAAAAATCTTACGAAGCGAGGTAGCTGGTTGCTGGATAAACTGAAGTTCCTGTCTCCTTTCGTGGCAACAAGAGTTCCCATTTCAAATATTGATACGTTAAGCGAAATTCTTGTTTTATTTTGATTTTCAAAGCAATTAATATTTAGCATAACATGTATATATATATATATATATATATATATTTGAAAATTGGTAACCCAGGCATATTATGATAATGATAAGGATTCTCTGGATTTGTTTTAAATTTTTATTGAGCTTTCAACTCGGTGTTTCGAGCCTTCGTCAGAATGTGACAATATATTATTTACAAAGATTTTGTAGGCGTTTGGAGCGTCTGATTGGTTGGTTAGTAGTTGAGTTGATATTATTGGATGGTATAAGATGCGTTGTCATGTTTTCGGGTGTATGGATTACGTTAATGAAATTCGAGTGTTTTATTTTAGTCGTTGTGTTATTAGTTTGTTGTTTTGGTTTTGTCTTTAGTTGTGAATAGATGATGGGGATGTCAATATGTCTGTTAATTGTGTTGTTGTCTTTGCTGTACCATGCCTCTTTGAATTCTCGTGCGTGTTTTGTCTGTGCGCGTCCAAGAAGTTGTGTTTTTGTCCAGTCAAATGTGTGGTTGGTATCGTAGGTATGTTCTGCTGGTAGTGATTTTGGGTCGCGTCGTTTGACGGCATTCTTGTGTTCAGTGAGTCTTGTTTCAATTTTCTTGGATGTTTGTCCTATATACTGTTTGGGGCAATCTTTACATGGTATCATGTAGACCGCGTTGGTTGTGTCGAATGTCGTTGTTCGGTCTTTATGTTTAGTGAAGTATGATTTGAGTTTGTGTGTTGGTTTATGTGCGATGTTTATTTTGAATGGTCGGAGTAATCTTGATGTCATTTCCGATGTTCCGTTTATATATGGTAATGTCACTATTTTTACTGGTTCGTCTGTATCTTCGTTAGGTTTTTCAGTTTGTGGTTTGTTGTGTATTTTGTTCAATACTTTATTGATAAAGTTTCGTGGGTAATTGTTGTTTATGAATGTAGACTATAAGTAGTTGCGTTCATTCTTCTTGGCTTCTTCTGTATTGCAGTGTGTTTTAATCCTGTTAAAGAGAGTTCGTATGCAACTAATTTTGTGTTGTGTTGGGTGATTGCTATTAAAGTTGAGTATATCAACTCAACTACTAACCAACCAATCAGACGCTCCAAACGCCTACAAAATCTTTGTAAATAATATATTGTCACATTCTGACGAAGGCTCGAAGCACCGAGTTGAAAGCTTAATAAAAATTTAAAACAAATCCAGAGAATCCTTATCATTATCATATATATGTATATGCATAAAAGATAAAAGTTTCTCCGGATTTTAAGTGATTTTTATTGAGCTTTCGACTCGTTGCTTCGAGCCTTCATCAGAATGAGGATATTTATTTACACGTGCTTTTAGCTTGGAGACGTTTAGAGCGTCTAATTGGATGAGTGGGTGGATTAATGTGATTGGATGAGGTGAAATGCGTTGCCATGGGTTTTGGTGTATTGTGAATATGATTGGTGTTAATAATATTGTCGAATGTGTGGTTGTTTCCGTGGGTATGTTCTGCCGGTAGTGAGTTCGGATCTCGTCGTTTTATGGCGTTTTTGTGTTCTGTGAGTCTTGTTTCAATTTTCTTAGATGTTTGTCCTATGTATTGCTTTGAACAGTCTTTACATGGTATCATGTAGATCGCGTCAGTTGTATCATGAATTGTTGTTTTGTCTTTATGTTTGGTGAAACATGATTTGAGTTTTTGTGTAGGTTTGTGGGCGACGTTAATATTAAATGGTCTAAGAAGTCTGGCAGTCATTTCTGATGTTCCGTTTATGTATGGTAATGTGACGATTTTTACTGTTTCGTCCGGTTTTTTGTTGCTTTTGTCGGTTTGTGTTTTGTTTTGTATTTTGTATATAGTTTTGTTTATGAAGTTTCTAGGGTAGTTGTTTTTAATAAATGTGGAGTATAAGTAGTTGCGTTCTGTTTTTTTGGCTTCTTCCGTATTACAATGAGTGTTTATCCTGTTGAAAAGTGTTCGAATGCAGCTTATTTTGTGTTGTGTTGGATGATTGCTGTTGAAATCGAGTATTTGGTCTGTGTGGGTGGTTTTGCGGTATACTTGTGTGTTTAGTGTACCGTCATCAGTTCTGGTTAGTACGATGTCGAGGAAGGTAAGTTGTTTGTCGTGTTCTTCGTCTTTAGTAAAGGTAATGTTCTTTGTGGTATTGTTTATGGTGTGTAGGATTTGTTCAGTTTTGTCTTTCTTCACTATGGCAAAGATGTCGTCGACATATCTTTTCCATAGTCTGATGTTTGTGTTGTTTGTGACTGATTGTGTTTCGAGGTGTTGCATGACAGCTTCTGCGAGGAAGGTGGATAGTGGTGATCCCATTGGTGTGCCTGAAATCTTTGCCATAGTCAAGAAAGACAAAACTGAACATCTTTGCCATAGTCAAGAAAGACAAAACTGAACAAATCCTACACACCATAAACAATACCACAAAGAACATTACCTTTACTAAAGACGAAGAACACGACAAACAACTTACCTTCCTCGACATCGTACTAACCAGAACTGATGACAGTACACTAAACACACAAGTATACCGCAAAACCACCCACACAGACCAAATACTCGATTTCAACAGCAATCATCCAACACAACACAAAATAAGCTGCATTCGAACACTTTTCAACAGGATAAACACTCATTGTAATACGGAAGAAGCCAAAAAAACAGAACGCAACTACTTATACTCCACATTTATTAAAAACAACTACCCTAGAAACTTCATAAACAAAACTATATACAAAATACAAAACAAAACACAAACCGACAAAAGCAACAAAAAACCGGACGAAACAGTAAAAATCGTCACATTACCATACATAAACGGAACATCAGAAATGACTGCCAGACTTCTTAGACCATTTAATATTAACGTCGCCCACAAACCTACACAAAAACTCAAATCATGTTTCACCAAACATAAAGACAAAACAACAATTCATGATACAACTGACGCGATCTACATGATACCATGTAAAGACTGTTCAAAGCAATACATAGGACAAACATCTAAGAAAATTGAAACAAGACTCACAGAACACAAAACGCCATAAAACGACGAGATCCGAACTCACTACCGGCAGAACATACCCACGGAAACAACACACATTCGACTGGACAGAAACTAAAGTACTCGGACGCGCACAGACTAAACACGCACGCGAATTTAAAGAAGCTTGGTACAGTGAAGACAACGACACAATAAACAGACATATCGACATACCCATCATATACTCACAACTAAAGAAAAGGACAAAACTACAAACAACACCAAAACTAAAACACTACACTCTAATATTACTAACACCAATCATATTAACAACACACCAAAACCCATGGCAACGCATTTCACCCCATCCAATCACATTAATCCACCCACTAATCCAATTAGATGCTCTAAACGTCTCCAAGCTAAAAAGCACGTGTAAATAAATATCCTCATTCTGATGAAGGCTCGAGGCAACGAGTCGAAAGCGCAATAAAAAATCATTTAAAAATCCGGAGAAACGTTTATCTTTTATGTATTCAATGCCTGGATTACAAATTTTCAAACTTATAAAATCGACATATGGGATAGATATTCTCAGAAGAACAAGAAAATGGGAATTATTCGCACGTAAATCGAGCACTGTTTTATACGGAAAATCATAAATTATAAACTTCCTATATATATATATATATATATATATATATATTAAGAAAGT